TTTCAAAGGCAAGTGTGCCACAGAGCACACTTTGGGAAACACTGGCCTAGGGGATGTCTTGAAAAAGCTGGTCTGGGTAGTCAGTGAGTGCCCTGGCCAAGAGACTGTGACATCACTTGGAGGACAGGTCTGTGAGTTCTGGACTTGGGATAACAGAGATGGAATTTGTCCCTCCTCAAGGGTACAGTGCTGGACAACCACACCTGCCCACCAAACACCACAGTGTTTCCCTTCTGCCAGCCCTGCAGTTCCTGGTCCCCCACACTGTCAATGTTCATCCACTGATACCCCCACCATCAAAACAGTAACCATCCTGCCAGGCCCCCATCTATGGAGCCTACCTATGCCACCCCAGCCTAACCTTCCAGCCTCGCAACAGCCAAGAGCCATAAGCCCAAGTCTCAGTCTGACTCTAACTGGTTGTTTGACCTATGACAGTACCCTCCAGGATATAAAGGCTCCTTTTGGCTCAAAAACTTTGTTATAGTCTGCGCCCTTCAGGGGCTGTAAGTTCAATGAATCGAAGGGAAAACAAACTCAGCACTTCGTGAAGCTGTGATAGCTACCATTCACAAGAAGCCTGCTAAGTGCCTGGTGTTTGCAGGGTGCTATATGCCCATTATTTCCACTCCCTATAAGAACCCTACAAAATAAGCAACAGTATGCTCTTTGTATGGGGGAAGAAATCAAAGCTAAACCTGGTTGGCAGTCCAAGATGCCCTGCTAATAAATGTGAGATCCATGATTTGAACTTGGGTTTGTCTGATTACAGAGTCTGTACTAAAGTATGCCTTCCCATAAAGAGAGCCAGGGAAGAGGCATGGTGGCTCACACCTGTAATCCCAGCACTCTGGGAGGCCAAGGCTGGCAGATCATGAGGTCAAATTAAAACCATCCTGGCTGATATGGTGAAACCCCATCTGTACTAAAAATACAAAAATTAGCGGGCATGGCGGCATGCAGCTGTAGTCCCAGCTACTCAGGAGGCTGAAGCAGGAGAATTGCTTGAACCCATGAGGCAGAGGCTTCAGCGAGCCGGGAACGCGCCACTGCACTCCAGCCTGGGTGACAGAGCAAGACTCCATCTCAAAAAAGAGAAAGAGAGAGAGAGAGAGAGAGCGCCAGGAATGAGAAGCACAAGCTCTCTAGACAAGGGCAGGTCAGCGGGAGCTCCCCTGTGACTGGGACCCAAGAACTCCTCCTAGGTCACCCCAAGTGATCTGCTCAAAAAGGAGTATCTGAAGGTCATCCGGTGCAGCTGATCTCCAGGACAGGATGAGATGAGGCACCAGGGTCAATCTGGAATCAAGAGCTCCACGGCACTGAAGCTCCAGCCCGGATTGAATGCGTCAGGCCAGACCCTGGGTAATTACCAAGCTGTAATGGGATCTGATATTTATATTAGTCACGAGCCTGACAGAGAAAACGTGTTGTTTTCTTAGGCACAGCCATGGAGACAACATCTCGATAATTCATTACACGCAGACCATCTTTGATCAAGCCCAGGCTTCTACAAGGACAACAGCTCAAATTGAGAATAGAAATAACTCCATTCCCAGCCACACTCAGGCCCTTCAGCAAACCACAGCTCCATCAGGAAGTTGGCCTCGGTTTCCCCAGATATTTAATGAGAAGTGGACCATATGCTGGAAGATGAGCAGAAGGTGGAAATAAAGATATGCAACTGTTCCGAGACTGAATTCCTAGAGGAATTGCTGGGGAATTGCAAAACACATTCTGAGCTAGAAACTTTAACCCTCGTTCCTCAACTCCTCTCCCTCTCCTGTATCGAATCACAGAGCAGGAAGGGACATTAGAACTCACAGAATTCAATTCCCACATTTTATATACAAGGAAAGAGAGACACCAGAGAGGTTAAATAACTTCTTCAAAGTCATGGCTTTATTCAGGCTACCAGAGGAGTTCCCTATTCAATATAGTCTATGACAGGATTGAACTTCACAACGTCACAGCCAAGTGAATAGAGAGCTCTGATAAAATCCAACAAACTAAAAAAGAATAATGCAAAAAATTACAGCAAAGAACACTGGAATGACTGTGACCAAGTTCCCAACAGGAGGAAATTGTCATGTTGTCTTCTTCACTTTCTGAAAAAGTGCACATGCCACTCTTTTCAAAAGAATAAAATCATTCCCTATTTGAGATTCAGAGGCCAAAGGTACTAAGGAAGAGATGTCCCACTACGCACGTTCACAGTCTTGGGTTCCTTTGATCAAAAAGGTTGGTGCAATTCCAGAGACCAAACGCTCATGAAATTGGAGTTCCTTGCCGAATTTTATCTCCCACAGAACTTCAGATGCTACAAAAGACCTCCTTTCCTGTGGACTCCAGCGTTTGATCAAACCATCTTGGGGCTGAAGGAGGGTGAGGGTGAACCGATCTGAGGGCTGGTAGAATTTTCTAGAAAGGCAGCCTACGTTTTTCGTGGGAAATCTAGCACAAAAGTTATTATTCTAAACTTAAGCCAAATACATGCCTGTGTATCAAGTTTTGAGAAAACTACCAAATACTTGGAAAGCAAAAAGAACAAAAGAAAAAAAAATACAATTGCAATAAAAATACAGACCTCAAGGGTAGAAAGATATGCTTTTAAAATGCCTGACTTACCATTATTGCTTAGAATGAGCTGGCTACCCATGCTTTAAGTGAGCAAATCTAGGGGCATTATCAAGAGATTCTGGGCATGCTTTAAAGCAGACTCATGGTATCAAAAGGAACCTGTACTCATTCGAAACTGGCCTCACATCTGCTGAACCAACCACCATCACCTCTCATCCCTGGCAAATTTCTTATAGCAACTAACTTCCAGTTATGTCCACTCAGCAGGTCTTGGAGCTACAAAATATAGCCAAATATTTACGGATTGTTTTTTCTAATCATTGCCAAAAACCTATTTTCTTGAGTAAACTGACAGAAGTTATGCTTGCTCATCATTTAGGAGATCCTTTGTGTGTGTGAGGGGATTAGCATTTCATTACAGGCACTGCAATCGCATTTCTGTACCCACTAGCGTAAAAAGATCTTGGAAGCTGTGTTTAAGACCCCAGGATCACAAAAACACCACGAGTTATTTTGAATCATTGAAAAAGTTTTCGTTATGATCAAAATTGCCCACTGCCTGAAAAAAAGCAAGCTGTTAAAAAGTTCACCCAGATCACTCCATCTAGGCAACATTTCAGATCTTTCCCCTAAAGACAGCTGCTGAATCTCAGTAAACGGGGGAACAAAATTCCTGAGGCTGTTGGGGGAGGTGGAGGAGAGGGATGGAGAGAGGGAATGTGGGAATTTGAAGGCTCCGGGAATAAGCTGTCTCAGGGTCTCAGCAGGAGGGTTAGGCAGGGATCTGGTGTATAGGGCTTTGCTTAACCTGAGGGTTTCTCTGGAAAGTGGCAGGTTTTCCTTCTTAACAAATAAAAAGGAACTTCTCCAGCTGAGAAGGTAATTCCAAAGAAAGCTCTCTGGCCAACACCTGCAGGCCTCCGAGAAGCCAGAGAATGAGGATAAGAACGATGGTTTTCATATTTCTCCCTTTTTTCCAATACACCAGTATTTTCCAAAACACAAATGTGCTGCCACAAAACACAGCTGAGCTCCAGCACCCAACAGGATGTGTAATTAATGATCAGGAGAGAGAGCCTCGGTTCCCCCTGGTGTTTTCATAGCCAGCCTTCACCCACAGCCCCTGGCTTCCCTACTTCTCTCAGCCCCCAAGAAGGCTTCTACAAGTTGCTGTGCCCTATGGAAGTTTGAGGGGGTCCTCGGGTTAACTTTACTAGAAAAGATGTGAACATGTGGGGACTGCAATGTGTATCCACCTTGCACTATTCACCTGGATATCCCTTCCCTCCAAAACGGTTAGTGCTGTGAAGTTCCCTCGGATGGGAATTCCTCAGAAAGAAGGCAGCTGGGTCACTCTCTTGTTTCCAGTTCTTTCTTCTTTCTTCGGCAATTTTCTATCAAACACCATCGGATCCCCCATTCCAGCCAGCGGCTACGGGGAAGGGAGGACATCTCTAGGGACATGAGTACAGACCAGGCAGTGAGCCTAGCAACCATACATCGAAGGTGTCGCCAGCCTCAGTGCTGGTGGGCGTCTGCGCCAAGAATAGCTAAAGCCGACAACATCTAGCCACCTCGAGCGCCAGGGAAGAAGCTCCGCGTAAAACCGCGGCCTCAGGCGGACCCCCGCTCCAGCTTCGCGCTGCTGGGCATTTCCGGGGAACCAAAGTGGGTGGCCTAGGGGCAAAGGAACAGAGGCCGAAGAACTTGGGGTATGTTCCACTAGAACACCTAAGGGACAGAGTGGGAGGTGACATCGGATTTACGACCTCGACACGTTCTGAATGTGGCAGCCCCGTGGGCTGCCCCAATACTGGGATGGATCTCCTCAACTTCTTTCGCCCCTCGAAGTCCCCCACTACCTCGGGCCATGCTCCTCCCCCGGGATTCCCTTGTGCAAAATTATTCTCTCCCTTGTCCAAAGAATTTTCTCTTTTATCTGACCCCACGAACTCATTTCCCCAACAGGTTCCTAAAGTATGGATGGATGTGCTCCCTCTCGCCCACCGACTGGAGCCGTGCCCCGACAGGTGAGCGGTGCAGAACAAGCACCCAGCGGCCCCCAGCTTCCTCCGTCCAAGCGGGGTTGGCTCTCCCCACCCCGCACCACAGCACCCGAGCCCGTGCGTCCCCCACCCCAGCCCCAGCCGCAGCCAACAACCCTACAATAAACAAGAAGACAGGATTGGGCATCCGCGTCCGGGAGCGCACTGGCTCGGGGCAACTCCTCACCCTCGGCGCGCCGCCCGCTGCCCGGATCCGAGAGCACCGGGAGAGCGGAGGAAAGGGAAGGCGGCCGTGGGGAAGGCAGGCGGGATGAAGGGAGGCACCGCGCGGCACGGAGCGAGGAGGTGGGCTGCAGGGGACGCCGAGAAGCGGCGGGGCTGGCGCAGAGGGCGGGCGCCCGGGGCGCGCGTTACCTTCGTCTTGCCCCCGCAGTGGCAGCACACGGTCCACAGGTACTTGAGCGTCCGCCAGAGCAAGATGATGAAAAGGCCCCCGAAGAAAGTCACCATGGAGGAGGCCAGGAAAGCCCACCACATGCGTTGGCCCCGGCTGTCGCACGGCACCTCCATGGTCACCGGGATGATGAGCGCATCCATCTTGGGCTCGTGGACCGAGGACGAGGAGGAAGAGGAGGAGGAAGAAGAAGAGGAAGAGGAGGAGGAGGAGGACGCGTCTAGGCTGAGATGGTTCGCGTGGATATTGCTACTCATTCTAAGACTGCTGCCTCCGCCGCCGCCGCCGCCGCCGCTGCTGCCGCCGCCGCCGCCGCCACCATTTGCCATAGCTAGCAACGGGCAGCCGGCGCAGGGGCTCGGGGGAGCTCCTCCCGCCGCCAGCGCCACCCCGAACACCCATCAACAGCCATATTGCTGCTACTGCTGCCGCCGCTGCCGCCGCGGAGCGCGGGAGGGGGGCGGGGAGGCGCCTGGGCTCGGGGCGCTGTGCGCGACCTGGCGGGGTGCGCCGAGATATATACAGCGAGCCGCCGCCGCCCGCCCTCCCCCCGGCCGCCGGCCCGCCCGGGGGGGAGGGGGATGGAGCGCGCGGGCAGCTCCCCCTCCCCGGCCCGCGCCCCGCTAGCCCCGGGCCGCGCTGGCCCCGAGCGCCGAGAGCCAGGGGGCGCCGCGGGCCGCCCGCGCCCGGGGTCTGCGCCGCCCCCGGGCCCGCCCTGGCTCTTCGCGCGGGCCCGGGTGTCCTCGGCGCCGCGCCGCCTGCCGTGCGCCACTGGTGTGCGCTGAGCTCCGGTCGGGGACCCCCCTTCCCCGCGCGCCTCCCGCGCGGCTAACGAGCCGCTCTAGGCTTATTAGGCGGCAACTCGTTAATAATGGATAATCGGCCCCCTCAGCCCGGGCGCCCCCCCGCCAGCCCTCCTCCCCCGGGCTGCGCTCGGCTCCCGCTCGCCGCCCCGGTGCGCGCCCGGCCGCGGCAGGTTCACCGCGTCCGGCCGCCGGGCCGTGGCCGCCTGCTAGCCCATGCTCCCGGGACCCCCGAGTCCTGTCTGCACGCCGCTAAGCGTCCTCGGCCTCCGCTAGCTCTTCCTCCTCGCCGCCTCCGACTCCTCCTCGTCCCCGTCCTCGCCGCCAGAGCCTCTTCGGCGCGCGCCCCGCGCTCCCCTCAGCCGCCAGCAGCTGCGGCTGCAGCAACTGGAGCGGGCGCGGGCTCTGGATGCCCGAGGCGGGAGGGGAAGAGGCTCGCGGCGCTAGTTCGCCTGGGCTCCGGGCTGGGCAGGGGCGGGCAGGGCCCCTAGGCGGCGGCCCGACACGCTCCCCAGACTCGCAGGGCGCAAGGTAGAGCGCCCCCAGCCCAGGTGCAGGGCCAGGCGCCTCTCTCCAAAGGGCTGCGCCCCCAACCGAGCGCGGTGGGGTACCCTGGGAGGATGGCGGGGCCCCCTAGGCAGGCCGTTTTTTCCCAAAGAGCCCCCAGTGGGGAGGGAAGGAGTGGCCATATGTCAACTAGATTCCACATGCTGAGCGCCCCAGGACCCTCGGGCTTCGGGAGTGAGGAGGACCCTACGCCAGGATACACACAGTTACCCACCCCTACTTCGCTCTTCTCCCTGCTTCCCATGTGCCCAGTGTCCCGCGTGTGGTTGGAGGGCAGGGTCAGGAAGGCCGGCGGGTGGTTTGTGGCCCCTGACAGCAGCAGGTGGTTTTCTCCTTTTCCCCTATTAGCGACAGAGGCTGCCCAATAGAGAGTAGGCAGAGATCATCAGGGCGAGCCGGCTGGGGTAGTGCAGGCGGGATAGACAACAGAGTTCCCTAAAGGGTTGCTTTCCTCTTGTATAGTCCCGGACTTCATCCATGCTGTGAGGAGGACAGATGGGGGAAGGGGGCTTCAGGCTTCATTCCGGCTCACCGCTCCCTATTTAGGGTCTTCCCTTTTCCCACTTAAGATGAAGTCCGTATTTGTTCCTTGGCCTCTCTCTGTACACCACCCGGGGAATCCCCCTTCCGACACTTGCAGAAACTTTGCGCCCTCCTGGACACTGTCCCTCCTCGTGCTACCAGCGGGACCACAAGTTTTTCCAGCGCTGATTAAATCGAAGATGATCACCCTCTCCCCTCATTGCTGCAGTGGTTTCCCCAAAGTTTCCAGCTCATTAGTTTAGGCCTAACTGGAATTCTCAGGTTCCTTTCAGCTCTTCCCGTGGAAAAGGCCCAAGTTAGCATCCTTAGCTTTACACCTGCGGCTGTCTCCTCGGGAGTGAGATCAGCCCTGCCCTTGTCCTTGGAGGTCTCTGGAAGGAAAAGTGACAAGGGAGGCTGAGCTGGGCAAAGAGGCTGAAGACGGTGTTTGAAGCCTCTCTCTTGCTTGATTCAGAATGCATTCATTGCTTTAGGGTACACTTCCACTAAGAAAGAGTTAAGGCTCAAGTCAAAGGAGAAAATGGAATGAGGTAAGAGTTCTTGAGTATTTAGTTCTCAAAAAGCAGTATATGTAGGAGGGAGCTGCAGAGTGTTCTCCAGAAAATGGAATTGTGTGAGCCTCCTCTCTGTACCGTCTCATAGTACCTCCAACCTTGGCCTCTGTGTTCAGCCACTCTGAATGCATCCCTGCCACACCAGTCCCAAGCATGCAAAGGTTCTGGGGCTGAGGGAGCTGGAGGAGTGCTGTGGGGATGCACAGGAAGGTGACTGTGGCATTGAGGTTCCTTTATTTATTAGCCTTCTCAATGGCTGTACTTTGCTGTCTTTGTACCATAGCATATGCCAAGAAAGTTAAGGACATTCCTTAAATCAAGGCCAAGATTTGAAATTTACAAATAAGACACCCAGAACATACAAAGAGTAGCAAAGGATACTGCTGTCTCCCCAGTGGGATATGAAACCTCCAGAATGCATTCCCTCACCCCACAATTGAAATTTTGCAAACCAGCAGATGTGGGGCCTTCTCAGACAGCCCCTACAGCCTGGATTCCCCTGAAATGCTAGTCTGTGGCTACTGGTAAGCAGCTGATGGCTTTGGCTTCTGTCACCCCAGCTGCAGAATCCATAGCTTTTTCTCCTCCTTCATCACCTCAGCATCTTTGGAGAGGGTGTTGGGAGGCTCCTCAGATGCCAGCTCCTTCTGCTGTCTTCATCACCCCTGCCTCTGCTGATTGAAGCTCTTAGCAACTTCTACACTATCCAAGATCTCGGCTCAAGATTCATCAGAGACCCTCAGTGTTGAAGTCAGTGTTTTCCCCCTTCCTACAATCACCAGTCTCTCACCATCTCCCTGAATGGCCTAGCTGGTAGGCACTGAGAGAGTGCCACCATCCACCAGAAATAGACATTGCCAGACCCTTGCCCAGTTCTCTCTGGCCATTTCCACATTGTTCACAAACTTTTGCACCACTTCCAGAAAACTTGGCACCTGGCATTACCAATTGAGGAAAAGACTCTGCACAGACAAAATGGAATCTCAAACTTAAAAGGAACCATAGGTATCTTTGATATGATGTGTTTCTTCATTTATACAATCAAAATAAAACCAGAAACTGCCCTGCCTACCTCTAAGGGTTATGTGTGAGGATGAAAAAAGAAAGCTGGGTGTGGTGGCTCACGCCTGTAATCCCACCACTTCGGGAGGCTGAGACGGGTGGATAACCTGAGGTCAGGAGTTTGAGACCAGCCTGGCCAAAAGGGTGAAACCCCATCTCTGCTAATAATACAAAAATTAACTGGGCATGGTGTCACATGCCTGTAATCATAGCTACTTGGGAGGCTGAGGCATGAGAATCGCTTTAACCTAGGAGGTGGAGGTTGCAGTGAGCACCACTGCACTCCAGCCTGGGTGACAGAGTGAAACTGTCTCACAAAAGAAAAAAAAATAAAGCATCATACAGATCTTGACTGTCATTACTATAACCCAGAAAATGGACAGCCAAAGTCTAACTAGATCTTCTGACCCCTGAGCTCATACTTGCATGCGCACATGCCCCCATGCCATTCTGTTCACAGCATGTCCACAGCCAGGCTGTGGCCACAGTCCAGGGCACAGCAGAGCCCCTCCAGCCTGAATGGGCTCTCTGACTACCCAACACTCATGCCTACTCCTTGTCTTGCCAGTCCCTAGACAGCCTTGGAAATGGGAAAGGTGTAGAGAAGCACTATAAGCCCAGCACATCTTCCCCTAATGTGGGTGTGTCTGCAGGCTGGAAATTGACGTCCATTGCACAAGAACTGAAAGCCTCAACAAAAGTAGAAACTTCACCCTCTGTTCTGAAAACACTGTGAGCCACTTATTTTTATTTCTAAATTCATTTAAAAGCTTCCCAGAAAGAAAGGCAACCTGTGTACCATGTGCATGTGTGTCTATGGCAGCTCTCAAAGCAAATCAGAGGTTTCAAGTTTAAGTATTCTGATCTGAACAATCCTGATTTAAAAGAAATAAAAGAAAGTAAACATACTGAAAAAGCAGAGTGACTAAAGTAAAAGCCTAGGAGAACAAGAAAGGTTATTTACTGAAAAGTTGGCCCAGCCTCACAATTAATGTGCAATGGATTTTCTTTTCCTCCAACCTGGACCCAGTTCCAATACTCTGACATCAATCTTGGCGATTTTGCGATGGAGAAGCCAGGTGGTGACTCTTTAAATGATATATCGCCCTCTGGTGGATTTTCCTGGCCCATGACATTATTTCATGAATGTTCAAAAAAGGGGCTTAGTTTAACAGTCTGAAATACAAGATATGAAAATTCCAAAGAGGAAAACCCTGCTGGAAAAAACTACAGGGATTAGGGAGGTGGCATGGATCAGGACTATGTTGGTCAAAGAATACAAAAAAGTTAGACAGGAGGATCAAGAGATCTAATTGTGCAACATGGTGACTACTGTGGATATCAATGTTTTGTATGCTTGAAAACCGCTGAGAGAGTTTAAGTCTTCTCACCACAGATAAATGATAAGTATGTGAGGCAACACGTATGTTAATTTGTTGATTTTATTTAGTCCTTCCACAATGTATATGTATTTTGAAACATCATATACACCATAAACACATTTTTGTCCATGTTTTTAAAAATAAATTAGGAAAAAAATGATGAACAACAGCAACAAAACCCTACAGCTTCAGCAGAATGAATTAACTAGTTACCAGTTCTACCAGCATATAAACTGTTTTGGACAAAGTTCACGTTATTACCATGACTTGACAGATTTCAACTGTTCCTGCCCCCAGTAACCCTGACCTGCCTTGAATCACCACTGTGTTTTCTTTTAAAGTCATCGGTATCTCTTTTTCTAATCACCCTTGGTCTTCACAGTCTCTTTGTGAAGTAAAAAAGGGCAGTAACAGCCCGGTGCAGTGGCTCACACCTGTAATCCCAGCACTTTGGGAGGCCAAGGTGGGTGGATCACCTGATGTCAGGAGTTTGAGACTAGCCGGGCCAACATGAGGAAACCCCATCTCCACTAAAAATACAAAAATTAGCCAGTCATGGTGGTACACATCTGTAATCTTAGCTACTCGGGAGGCTGAGGCAGGAGAATTGCTTGAACCAGGGAGATGGAGGTCGCAGTAAGTCACTCCAACTGGTGACAGAACAACATTCCATCTCAAAAAAAAAAAAAGTAGGGTCAACAGCAATTTTCCCACTTTACAGGTAAGAAAACTGAGGCTTAGATCTGTCAGGTTACTTGGTGCAACAAGGAAGGTCTGTTACCTCTCAAGTGATTTGTCTCTTTGTAATTTATAACAGTGGAGAGTGGGACTTAGAGAACAAGCTTTCAGGTGCTTGTATTTTTATAGATATTTATTTTATATTTACTTCTGCTTATAAGAATA